TGCCTCAACCATCCTAGGGAACAATGATGCTCCCGCTGCTTGAACTACCTCCACCATGGATCATATATAGGAGACCTTGAAGAAATCGGCGGGACAAAACCAAAAACCCGGGTTTTCGTCGGTTATAGGAATTTAAGTACCATAACTCTAGAAGAACAGCCAATTGCATTGACATCCGTTCCAACTCTAGCAGAAATTGATGATCTGAACACGAGTGTGGAACAATGTGAAAGCCAAATCGTCAATCGTGCCTCTGTAAACGGGGTTCGAGTGTGATGCAACTTCGATCCTTTGGACACTGTGTGAGGGCCTTGCATGGAGCCCCGACATTTGAACTTCTTTGACGATCCATAGTCACTAGGATAATAAGAGTGACGCCAACAGCTAAATTGCGACAACCTTAGAGATGCACTGAGAGACATTCAGAATTGGCTCCCTAGCAAGGTTGTTGCTATAATTAAAAGCCCTTTTTTTTTCAATAATTGAATTGGCATCTCTTTCAAAGAAGTTCTCTCAACGAAAGTTCAAATACTTTTGCAGAGACTCCTACCCACATCATGCACTACAAGAGTGATATGGCTCTGTATGGCCACAACGACGCATCGATGTGCAAGATGTTCCCTGATGCGAGAATTATACGCACACAAATTAAACCCTCTTTTTATCAATTGTAGTAAGTATGTAAGTAGGGATCGTTCTGGACCGGGGATTAGGAGGGATTGTTAATCACTTGGATTTGACTCAAAAACGTAAAAACAAGTTTAAAACACTATACTAGACTCAAAGAATGCAAAACTCAGAATAAGATAGATTAAGACTAAGACTAAACAAAATATGGGGGGGGGGGGATTGAGGTTTGGACGAATTTAAACTAAAATGGATAGATTGTAAAGAAAACAAATTGTAAATACGAATTTGACGGAAATGAATGGATGGGAAGCTAGCTAAGGGGTTCATCTCCACACATGTTATACTTGCATACAAAATGATTTCTAATTGCTTTTCAATAAACCATGAATTCTCAACACCCCGGGTTAATTAGGTCCGTTTAAATTAACCGTCAAGTTTTCCTTAAGTTAATGAATTGGATGATTGCATACGACAACCCAAAGCATTCCCCACAAGTTCCCTACATGAATTGCATAATAGAGATACAAGCAAGAATCATTAAGTTCCTTGAAAACCATAAGTGTTGACGAGGCATTCGTTACTATGATTGCATGAAACTTATGCCAAGAATTTACTTAACGCGATTGTTTATAAGCAACCTCCACTACTTGTGAATATAAGTTCATAACTATTAGGTGAAACTCACTTATATTCTAGCGTCATATTCATGCATGAAAATTAAGCGTGCACTCTCAATAAACATACATAAATAGTTTATCAATCAAATAGTTAAACAAATTGAATCCACAACTTATGAAACGCAATTAGAAGTAATCAAATCATATTGCAAGCATAAACATGTATTTCGAATCCCCCCTAGCCAAGGGGGGGTTTAGTTCCTCATACGTACAAGACAAAGAGAATTGAAATTAAACATTGAAATCGAGGAAAAGCAGCACCTAAAAATTCCAACAACTCAAACTTGAATTGTATGAACGTTTAGGCACTCTTCTCCTCCTCTTCGTTGTAGCATAAGGTCTAAGGATAGTGTTTTGGAGGGATGGAAGTGTGGAATGGAGTGGGGAGTTATGGAAATGGATGGAGATGGAGGAGAAAATGGTAAGAAAATGGAGAGAACCCACGGCAACAAGGGGAAAATGGTGTGGAATGGTGTGTGTTTGTGTTGTGAATGGAGGTGTGGAAATTGAATGAATTGTGTGATGGGATTGCATGGTTTTATAGGGAGAGAATGGGTGAGAATGTGAGAGAATGTGGCTGCAATGCATGTGAAAAACAGCTAGGAAAGTGGGTGGAAAGCTGGAATTGTCAAAGGTGAATGCATGTGCACGGCAAGGAAGGTGTTTTGGGTGATGGGTGCATGTGTTGGCTGATTTATTGAAGGGAATGCATGTGAGTGACAACTAGGATGATTGGTGGCTGCAATGATGAAGGGGAATGGCTGGAAATGCAAGGGAAATGCATGTGGAATGACAACTACAATCCTTGGTGGAAAGCTGGAATTTCAAGGGTTATGCACGACAAGGAGTTTTCTTGATGGTTTTGGGGTTGTGATGCATGTGAATGCATGTGAATTAAAACTAGAGTGAATGATGATGAATGCATGTGGAACAAAGAGGGAGAATGTGGTGCAATGATGAATGGGAAGCTGGAAATGAAGGGGAAGGCATGGCAAGGAAGGGAAGTGATTGTTGTTTGTGTGAAGTGTGTGTGAATGCATGTGAGTGGCAACTAGGTTGAATGAAAGGTGAATGAATAATGAAATGGGGAAGCATGTGAGTGACAACTAGGTTGAATGATGATGAGTGCATGTGGTTGAATGAAAACATGTGAATGAATGAGAATGTGCTAGGGTGTTGAAAGGTTTTGCATGGCTTTGAAGTGATTGTGGATTTTGGAATTGGAAGGAAATGCATGGCCTTGGGGTTGGTTTAAGAGAGAATGGGCTAGGCCCTTTGTTGTATGTCCTAAAGTGCATACAAGGCCTTCAATTTCGTCCAACATTTTGGCTCCAAGCATAAGCCATCCATTCCAAGCCCAATTTTGCTCCAAAATGCTCCAAAATGCATCTTTTTGCTTCCTTAGCCATATGAACCTAAAAACACACGAAAATGGCTTAAACTACTAAAACAACTAGGAATTAACAATATAAATGCACGAAAACAAGCTAAGTAAGTTGCCTAATTATGCTCCTATCATTCCCATCCACCTTGGAGGGACCTGTCATGAAATGGTTCTTAGAATTGCCGACTTGCTCCATCAATTGCTTCAAAAGCCTAGTTGACATCTTCATGAATACCTACTTGGTTTATCGTGATGTTCGCAAGCATCACGATTCCGTTTCAGCATTATTGCTAAACCTAAGAATGAGAGCCTTAAAGCATACATAAAGCGATTTCATGCGAAATTAGCTGAGGTCAAAAAGGAGGATGACATGCTCACTACAATAGGCCTCAAGCGAGGACTCTATGGCCACTCGCATCTCTCCTAAAATCTGAACAAAAGGAAGCATGACTACACCGCCCTGGCAGAGTTTTTTTATCGCAATGCTAACTTCACCGATTGGGTATAAAACCCCAAAAAAAGAGCTCTAATCTGCATCACAACAAGAGGTTTGACCGAAGATGAGATGTCTACGACACCTCGCTTTCATCTCCTTGTCGAAATGATAGGAGATGACTTAAGGATAGGCAAGCTCCACCCAAGTCAAATCAATACACAACCTTGAACACTACTATCAACATTGTCTTTCATAGCATCAAAGACAAACCTTTCCTCAAAATGCCTAAACCTCTTCCTGACCATTTGCCAAGAAAAAGCCAAATGAGTATTGTTCCTTCCACTAGTGCACTTAATCACTCTACACGGAACTGCCGCACATTCATGGACCATTATCGAGGAGTTACTCGATCAGGGGCATTGCTAGGAGTTTTTCAAAAGCAAAGCTAGGAAAGAGGAGCCTGCTAAAAAAAAAAAAAAAAAAATAAAGAAAAAAAGAATCAAGGTAAGTTCGACCAACATGAGCTCACCAATGAAGAGGAAGATTGGTGCATGGCAAAGATGCATACCCTCATCATGAATTGCATCTACGGAGGACATAAGACACTTGCAGACAAAAGAGCTTGAAGCTAACACATAGAAGGGGAACTCGATCACAGGTGGAACATCCTTAAACATCACCGATATCACTAAAGATCCCCTCACAACTACACGTAGTTTGATTCTTTGATGACAGGAGAAGATATGTAAGCTATCCATTAAGGAGTCAACCACAATGAATTTCAACATCTCCTGTCTACGCATACGTTGGGAAAAACATCTCTAGAGTCTGCCTAAGTCAAGGCACCTTTTTGTCAAATATGACCCCCGATGTAAAACATACATTGTATCATCTTTTATTAGAACACACCAATGATTTGATTCTCCTTCCCAATATATGTAGGAAATCAAATTCGGATTCAATCACAACCTCTATCATACCAGTAGGAAATGTGCCATGAAGCTAAGCATAACATGATACTTTATGAACATTTCATATATTAAACTAATCTAGCTTAATGTAAGGGCAAATATTATTGTTTAAGTCATCTCATTAAATGTTATACGCTTAAACGATAAGTCCAAGGAATATATAATTAGGAGAATATGGTCTAAATAAGTTATATTCACGAGATGTTTCTTTTTCATACACATATCCTAAACATTTCTGATCGTAAGGCTTCCAATTAGGCATTGACAATCTGCATAGATCAGTATATGCTATGTCTTCTCTCCCAAGAAAGTGACTGGTCTTGAGTCATTATCATTTGTGCCCCATGAACACCACGTCAACAAATTTGACCAAATAGACATAATCTAGATAAAATGAAACGAAAATCGAGTTACATGGGTTATTGCAAAAATAAGCTTCTAACTAACGTTAACCAACTTATACCAACTAGATAAATTATAACTTATATGACAAAGTATATCGTTATTGTGTTGCTTCGTGACAATTATGTAAATGCCATAAAATGAGAAAGTTACACTTATCATGTTGTGTTATTGGGACATGGATCCTCTACGGATCCAGTTGTCCTAATCCACCTAGTCAAATCATCCGGGGCATTGAAATTTGATCAAACAATATAAAATTATTATAACTTTTAAAGTTGGTCCCTGTTTATAGCTGTTGGATCAAATTTCAATGGCCTAGATGATTTGACTAGGTTAATTAGGACAATTGGATCCAGAGAGCATCCATATCTGTGTTATTGATGCAAACACCACAATAATAATCAGCACTACAATTACGATGTACGAGTACGATGAAAGTTTGTGTTAGTAGTGTAGTGGCCACCGCAACACCCCATACAAGAGTACTTCAACGAAAGCGCGAACTATTTTCCTAAAATTCAGCTTTTCCCGCCTAAATCCCCGCTCTCTTTCCCTCTCTAACTTTTGTTTTTCCCTCATTTTTCTGTCTACAGCTACAACAAGCACTCCCCCCCCTCTCTCTCTCTCTCGTCAAATCTCAATGCATACAATTCTTCTTCCTTTGTTAAAAGCTTCTTTTCTCTAGAAACAATGCCGGACCTCGGAATCGTTTCTCTCTCAGCTTCTCTAACCCTCACTACCTGCCCTAACTTCAAATCGCTCGCCGACCCATCAGATCAGGGCTCGGTCAAAACCCTAGGCGTTGACTGCGATTGGGACCGGGGGCTCAGGCTCCCGACTTTGCACAATGGCGAGGTCAGCAATGGTCATGCAATCAGGGTTTTCCGGCGGAGCCGCCCCTTGGCGGGCCCGTCCAAGAAGGCCTCCAACGGCAAGAGTTTGGAGGACCATGTAAGGGACTGGGTTAGCACAAGAGTGGAATTGGGCATTCCTGAATCCCGGTGCTCGTTGCCGTTTCTTTACGGCGCAAAGAAATTGGTACATTTTTCTTGTGCTTTTGCATTTCCGTTTTGTTGCTGAGAAAATGGGGGAAGACAAGTAATAAAATCATGACTTCCAATCTTTTTGCTTTCTGAGAAATTCTGATCTTTTGGATCAGTTAGGTTGATAAGGGATTAGTTTGCATAGTGAAATCTTTTTTTCTGACCAAGATTGTTTGCTGCAATTAATTTCAATTTGTGCGGCAGTTATAAAGATTGATAATTGAGTATGACATTTTGAATTCCAAAATTGAATATCCTTTTCTCTTCAAATGTCATTCGGAAATTTGGCTTATTGGCTTATTGGCTCAAGAACAATTGTTGATTCATAGGACAGAAAGATGGCGGTGATGGTCTTCCAAAGCTGTTTTAAGTGAGAGATGCTAATTTTATAAAAGGAGTCAGGGTTTTTGGTCAGTTGAAGAGATGGAACATGGGAAGACTTGAAGTGTTTTAATATGATTGAAAAGGAAGATAAGGAAACTCTTTAGTTAAATTATGCCTCTTTCCTTATGTTTTCACTTTCATTTGCTTTAGGTGGGTGCGGTTGGAGTGGATATCTAAGTTGAGTATAGTGGTTTACAAAATGTTGAGTTTCTTTATACAATGTTAGTTAGTGAACAAGTTTTCCTTTCAATAGATGTATGGAAAGCCTTAATAACTGAAACTATTGATTGCTCGTTGACTTATTCTTTCAAGGCGGAAGCTTATGTGTTTGTAACATGAAAGAAAAATAAATTTGTTTCAACAGATACTTGCTCAAACAATGTCGTCTAGATGATTTTCATAGACTTCTAAGTAGAGATTCTGATATGTTGCGTTTCTTGTATTTTTGCTTCTTTATGTTTCCCTCACATAGTGTACTTAGTTTTTTTTTTTTCTTGCTCTCTTGCTTTTGGATTTATTCCAGGTTGAATGTCTTGTTTGCCATAATTTTGCTTACCCCGGGGAAGAGGTCTCATGCTCTGTTCGTGGTTGTCAAGGAGTCTATCACAGGAAATGTGTGAAGGATAGGTTTGGGATCTCTTTGAAAAAATTCAAGTGTCAGCAACATGTAAGATCTTATAAGAACAATCATAACATCATTTTTTTTCCGTGCCATGCTATTTTAATTTCAGAATGTTGAAAATGCAAAAGGAAATTCTACAATAAACCATATTATGTCAACAATTGGCAAAAAAACTTCTTATTTTATTCCGAGAGAGAACTGTGGACATCCTGTGCTTCATTGATTATGATGCAATCATTACAATGGCTATACTGATTACTAGGGTGCTGGCCTAGGTTATTGACTTGTTGAGTCTATCCATCTTGTTCTGGTAACTGGGACTGAGAGATCATCACATTAGTCCTCCAGTCAGTGGAAATCATCTTTCTCTTTGTTGGTTGGATTAGTGCAAGTTACATTCATATGTAAATGTTAATATTAGTAGTGATCGCATTAAAATTTAAATTTGCTGTAGGTTCTGGTGGAATTGAGTAGTGATCGCATAAAAACATTTTAGGAATTATGGTTATAATGGATTAACTTTTGCACTATTCAAGCAGAATTTAAGGAATTGTAATGAATTCTGATTGTGTCTATTTCTTATATTCTTCATCATAACTTTCTAAATCCTGTTGGATTTTTATAAAACAAAAATGTCATAATATGCTCTATAACTTGCACAATCTCTTACATGAGTTGCAAATGAGCAGGCATGCTTCATTTGCAAACAGAGGGTAGATTGGCGGTGTGTGCGATGCAGTATTGCCTCACATGATAAATGTGCAGCATGGCCAGATGAAGTGATTTACTTGAAAGACCGGCCAGGGAAAGCTGTTTGTTGGAGGCATCCTACAGATTGGCGGGAGGATAGGAAGGTCAATTTCTTCTTTCCTTCATCAGTAATTTCTAGTCAAGTTTACCCTTGTATAAGTAGCTGGGTTCTTCACCATACCTGACATACAGTTTATCTTTTGATTCTCATGTCTTGCAAAATCTATGGGGTCCACATGAGGATTTTATTCATGACTTGTATCATAATGCAACTGAGTCAGAGGCTCAGAGGTCATGCTTCATGTTTGCTTGTTTGTTTAAAATGAGTTGTCACTTTCATATTAAGAGTTGCCAGTGAAGTATATTTGAAGAAAAACTGGACCTGAAATAGCAATAACTGTGATGGACACTGGTGTTTCCCATGAAATGCAGATATTGCATGATTAAAGTAAGCAATCAAGGGAAGATTTTAAAGTATGCTGGTGACTTGATCTTTCTTTAAAGTATTTGCTAAACTTTGTGTCCGTACACAGGAAATTACAGTAATGGAAGGCACTACGGCTACATCAATTGTAGCCATCCGGTATAAGAAAGAAAATAATGTAAAAGAAAGAATTATGTTTCCGTTGTAGTTAAGGTGTCGCTGAAGTTCTTTAAGTTTTCAATTTAACATCTAAAACTCTTCCTCCCTCTCTAGGAACAGTACAAGTCAGCTATGTCAGTTGCACGTGGTATACCCTCTAAGTTTGTGGGCGTACGTAAGCCTTATTCTTGTCAAGTTGGCTGTTGTACCACGTCCTTATTTTGGTGTATGAACTTCTTGTCTTAATTGATTCCTTGAATTTGAACATGAGGCCCGATTTTGTTCTTATTTAGTATGTGATTGTGCAGTTTTTCAGAGGGAATCAAATGCTTTTGGGGCTGGCTAATACAGTTTTGAGTTTATTGGACCAGCATAGAATATCTTATATTTTTGTTGAGGCTTTAGTTCGTCATTTGTATTTTTCATTGATTAGGCTGGTTGACAGGACTAATCTGTTTGTTGATGAGCAGCATGCGGCCTCGATAAGCAGTATAGAGGTCAGTCTTATGAAGAACTTGTTAATTTTTATTGTATATCATATTAAGTAACATCCACATGAACAAATATGTGAAGTACTCATGTCAGTCATTACATTGCATCAGTTATTTTATGCAATATGTCCAGCATGGTTGGTGACAAAAAATGGTTAACATTTGTTGTTGCATCAGTACAGCAGATAGAAATTGTTGGGTCACCTTTGAAATAGCTTGTTTCTTTGTTTTTTGTTTTTTTGTCTGTAGAGGTTAAATCTAATACCTAGTGCCCATCAGCAACCCCATGAACCCATTTGCCACTTAATGCTTTCAGATTGTTTTGGTCCATCAATTTTTTACCCTTCAAAGGATCTTCATTTTATTTTATTTTTGGCTAGTTAAAGCTTTCAAAAGACCCTGGCCATGCCTGTGGGTAAAGGGGATTCAGCCATCTAAGTGTCATCCTTAGGGACTGAATAAGATCTTAAAATTTCAGTTCTTCAGAAAGTTCCATAAGTGTTTCCTACTTGTACAATTTGTTTTTGTTGATTGGATTAACTGAAATTTCTGTAGTTCTGGCTTGTGTAAACCTTACTATAAAGCCCCCTTTGCAATTATATCTACATCTTAGAATAAAGTTTAAGTGAAACTCAAAAAAGGGTCTTAGCCAGTTTCACTGCTATAATTTTGATTACGAACATGATATACACCACTGATTGACTTTCTCTTGAAAATATAGGAGGTATTCTGTTGCTTGCCTCTGCCTTACACTGCTGAGGAGTTCAAGATTGACTTAGCTTGGAAAGACACGGATATTAAAATAGAGCCACCTCCATATTTGCACATCAGGCGTAGTATCCTATGTTATAAATACTCTTTGTTAGATTAGTCAATTACTTGAGGTTGTTAAAGTTTCACATTTACACATATGCATGCAATTTTCTAAGGAAAAATGATGAATAGTGGGTATTTGTTTCTTGATGAGAAACATCTGTTATTATGTTTTGGCTTGTAAATTTGTTTATTTAAAACTACTCGTCAATTTATATCACAACTAGCATGACACCTATCTTGACTGTAGTTAGATATTTACCTAGTCAAGAAAAAGCGCGATAATGTTGGTGATGATGTTGGATGCACATGCATTTCCATCTGCTCTCAGGATTGTGTTTGCAGGTATTATGAATTGTCTTACATATTGTGACTGATGAAGTTGAGTTTTGACGTGGTACAACTGTTAGGTGTATGATTTTTCAACATTGTATTCTTTTGTTAAAGTATTCATCATAACCTTTGGCATATTCGAAATGGAGTACCTGATATTTCACCCATGCTGTGTTTGGATGAGGAATCTTAACTTAGGAATGCACTACAAAAATAAAAAGCGGAACATGCAAATGACTTGACGCAAAACATTTGAGGGAAAGATGTCATTTGAAAGTCTTTTGTTTAGTGTTTTGGTAGTGCATTTTTAGTACTTGATTAGTAGCTTTGTAGTGCTAGTGTAGTTCACCGATAGTCTCTATGAGGTGCATTTTCAACAATTGAGTCCAATTAAAGTCAATGGAAGTCCCTCATCGAGTCGTACTATCGAGTATTGCACAGTTAATGTTCACTGTTCATTTGAAATTCTATGCATTTAAACTGAGATTTTCATGGATACCTCAGCCCTATTTGTGACATTATGAATAATCTAATAGGGGTCAATGCATAAGCTGCTCAAAGGATTGCCATTGCTCAGAAAATTGTACAAACCGACCATTTCGCAAGGAGAAGAGGCTTAAAATCGTCAAGGTGATAAAAGTAGTTTAAAAGAGCATGATTTCAACCCCCTATTTTCTTTAAGTAGAGTTTATTATTTATTTGTGGTTTAATCTTGTATTTAAGCAGATTTTTTCCTCTGTAATGCTCTTTGCAAAAGTAATGTTTAATTTTGTCTCAGACTGAACACTGCGGTTGGGGAGCAGAGGCGGCAGAATCTGTTAAGAAAGGCGATTTTATAATTGAGTATGTTGGGGAAGGTAGTTCTCATCTCTTTAAATTTTCTTAGCTTATATTGTAACAATAACTTTGAAGCCTGCATTGTGTTTATTTTCTCTTTTCTTTGATTTTCAAGTTTCCTATGCTATTTTGGGGAAATAAAAAATATAAATGAACAAAATCAACAACGGAATTTTCTGTAGTTTTGCAGCTACGGAATGTTCTGTTTTCCTTCATTAGGGCACTAGTCCACCAAAGAAGGAGAAATCAATGGTATCCATGTGCAGTTAAAATATCCAGTTTTGGGCCCTAGTAAAATCTAGTAAACTTTATTTTTTTTAAATATTACTGTACTCAAGCTTAATAGACTATTATATGAACATAAAAATAATATAACAAAATGTGTCTCTTGATTTTCCTGTAAATTAAAATTTCAGTGGCTCTAGTTGGGTAATTCAATAATGTTCTCCCTTTACTTGTCCTACAAGCCATCAAAATAAAAAATTGTTCTCTGTTTCAGTTATTGATGATGCTTTGTGTGAAAAAAGGCTTTGGGATATGAAGTATAAAGAGGTGAACAATTTCTATATGTGTGAAATTCGAAAAGACTTCACAATTGATGCAACCTTCAAAGGAAATCCATCACGATTTTTAAACCACAGCTGTGATCCCAACTGTGTCCTTGAAAAGTGGTTAGTATGTTTTTCACATTACTAGCTCTGAAATTTGTATTGCTCTGGAGTTTTCCGACATAGTTCACTTGTGCATTCTGTTAGGATTATGGTTCAGTTTCTCTTTGAATATTCTTTTGTGTTAAACACTCATTATGTTTCCTATATGCTTTCCTGGCGTTTGGGACACAGGGCTCTTGTTTAGCCTGGGATCTGGTGATTTTATATGGATATATCAAAAGTACTGTGTTATTAGCCAGCTCTCATGGTAATTTTACACCAATATATATACAGGGATCCTATAAGATTCTTGTACATGCATTGAACAAGATTTATGGACTTGAAAAAGAACCAACGTGTTTTATGCAGCACAGTTTTTGGTAAAGAGTTGCTTTATTAGTTGATTTGGACAAGATTTTTTGTGTTCAGTTGTCAATTATAGCCTATAGGGTTCAAATTTGTGGTTCTTGATTTATGGGTGGCAGACAGATTAGCTATCTGGGCACTCAAGAATTAACAATGATCCAGTTGAGCAGTTGTTTAGTTGTTATAGCAGTCTCTATCAGTTATAGAATTTATTGGCATTACAATTGAATTCCTTATCTTCTAATTAGGAATACCTTTCAACACGGGATTAAGCTCCCATCAATATTTTAAGTTGTTCTTTTGCAGGCAAGTTGAGGGTGAAACGCGTGTGGGCGTGTTTGCTGCACGATCAATACAAGTTGGAGAGCCATTAACATATGATTATAGGTACCTCCTAATCTAACTTGTAGCAAGTTATAGTTTAATTAACGTTCCACATGACATAATATTTTCGTTTTCCATGTTTATTAGATTGGAAATTTTTATTCCACATGACACCTCAATATTTTCTTTTTCCATGTTTATTAGATTGGAAAGTTTTATGTTGGGGATGGGTGACCTTAGAACCAGAAGCGGTAGGTCATGTCAAAATATGAAAGGGGTTGCAAATGAAAACTCTTGATCCAAAATCAGCTAGGCTAGGTTGCTAGTTTGTTTTCTATAGAAATGCCTACTTTTGCAGTATAACGTTGAACACTAGTTCCTCATATTTTGTATTTGAATGACTTTTGTAGATTTGTGCAATTTGGACCTGAGGTGGAGTGCCGTTGCGGTGCTCCAAATTGTCAACGCTTCCTTGGGACCAAGAGAAAGATGGGTAAGGTGGAACTTTGCTGGGGTTCAAAACGCAAGAGAACATCAACAGCCTGCATAGCTATCATTACCGGATGATTAGTATCAAACTAAGTTTAACCCTTTGTTGTACGCCCGTTGATGTTGTAGATCGCCTATATCATGAAATGTGGGCTAATAGAAATGCAAAAGGCAAAAAGAAAAACAAAATAGAGAAAAAATTACAGAAAATCCTGTGCTGCAGCAGCACTTTTATTTGCTGTATGATTGCATCTAATTGAATTTTGCACTTGTTGGGATGTTTACTTTCATTTGACCACAATAAGAGAGTTGACGTGTTTGTTCCACACGCCAAACTTAATCACTTGTTATGGAAATTTATTGCTCTGTATGGTATAGAACATTGGGTAAGTCGTGTTTTTGACGTATTATTTAATACATTGGGGCACCAAATAACGGATCTGTATTAAATATTACTATCCAGTGTATAATACATGTCAAGAAAAGCCAAAATCTGGTTTAGGATTGCTTTTGTTAGAGCTAGGTTTGGTTCAATTACCAAACTTAAACCCTAAAATCAAATATCAAATCGATATTGGTGTTGTTTTACCAATTATTATTATTATTATTATTATTATTATTGGTCAAAGGGTAAATTTTATTAAATTCTAATAGATATGTTTACGTCTTTTGCAAGAATATTAAAAAGAAATTCAGGACCATAAGCATCCTATAAGAACGAATCACCACGAAAGATAGCATAGGAAGCCATTACATAGGCAACGAGATTACCACTCCACTAAACATACATAAACTTCACCTCCCTAAACTGAGATGTCAAATTCTTAATATAAAAAATGAAACATTCCAAGGTTGCATCAATTGAGCATTCCCTATTTATCATGTTGATAATAGATAGAGCATCAGACTCTATCTCTACCATCTCATAATGCATGTCCCTACATATCACCAAAGCTGCACGAATTGCAGCCACTTCCACCATAGCTGCATCATTGAAAAACTCACCTCCCACCCCACTAGCCAACTTCAAAAGACCTGCAAAATCTCTCACCACCCACCCATAGCCACCTAACATCAATATCCCCCGCCATGCCCCATCACAATTAATCTTCAAAGTCCCAAAACTAGGACGTTGCCATCGAAATGTTTGCCGAACAAAAATTGACGTTGAAGGTTTCCCGTAGCACTCTTTCGCCCTTGTCTTTTCCTACTGGGCATCTCTAAACTCTTGAATATGGCGTCGTGATAAATCGATTGCATCCTTTGGAGTTTTATACTTACCTTCAAAAGCCAATTCATTCCAACATTTCCATATTCTCCAAAGGCCAAAAATAACTTCCTGTAGCAGCTCGTCTCTTACCGCTTCATCCTTAAACCGTGCTTCAATCTTCTTCCAACTTTCCAGAAAATCCACCCCTTTAACGGCATCCACATCAATCTGTAATGGGCAGCAGTACCAAAAGACCCGGCTAAAAAAAAACTGATATTGGTATTAGGGATTTTAGAACTGCTACCAATACATGCTATGTCTTCTCTGCAGGGGATTGACTGGTCTTGAGTCATTGGTGTGGTTGACACCAAAACAAGTATGTAGGTGCTCAATAAAAAATGAGTCTACTGAATGCGATCAACAAGGAGAGTTCTCATACTCATGTCACATAAGAACTCATTGTTGGGATAATGCAAAGCAGTCATTTGACCTAAGACATCATAGTTGTCTTGTAGTTAGATCCTTGATCTTTGATTGTGTCAAAGGCACTCCATCAGAGGGTGTCCACAACATAGTTAGGATTAAGTTACTTACCTATGGAAGCAGGTGAATGCATAACAAGGGATCTCTAACATTAAATCATTGAGGGAGAATACTCTATGATATGATTAAAAATCTTTAGCCATAGTATGAATGAGATTTAGGAAGCCGTTCCAAATCACATTCAAGGTAATCATACAGACAAGAGAATCATGTTGGATAGTAGACGTGAATAAACTGTTAAACCAAACAATGTGATCAAGAGTATTGTATGAGAGAAAGACTATATTGCATTTGTAATCCCAAACTGAATAGGTTCTCCAACCTCTTCTAATTTTCTTGGGTAGCCATGACATACTGCTAGGTGTCACTCATGACTTGTGAAAACCCTGAAGATGTATAATCACTAAAGGGAGAATTAAGTTTCAATTCACAATCGATTAGAAAGAGTTCTAATTGCCCACTGCCTTACTAAAAGGAACTTAATGGACCGCACATTGTGTAAGGTAATGATTGAATAACGAAGATGAGTAAGAAAAATTAAATATCTTAAGTGTAAGTGGCAAGGATTAATTCGTATTGGGCTTTTACGTTAGTTTCGGGTTTCGGGGCCCAAAAGGGTTTTGATCCACAAGGCCTATTGAGTTTAAGTTGTAAGACAACTAAAACTAAATGGGAATTAACCCAAAATTAAAGCCAAAACCGGCCTTGCACAAGAGGGAGTGGTGGTGGTCTTATTACAAGTTTCCCACTCACTTAGAAAGTGGTATGCCTTAACCTCTTTAGGGTTTTCTTTGAGGAAATATGAGAGAAACTTTGCTCTCATTTTCTCTCCAGGAGGTCGGCCACATGGGAGGTATTAGCTAGCAATATCTTCCTCCCATATCACTCATCTTCATCCCTCATTGATCCTTGGTGTCGAAACTTAGAGGCCCTCCACTTTGGGGGCTCTTGGAGAATCCTTTTCTCTATCCAAATCCAAGAAGACATGGAGCCAAGAAGCAAAGTTTCTCCATCCACATCCATGGAGCCCAAGAGCATGGAGACAAATGAATAAAGGCCCTCTCATGCGTGATTAACCTTTTGTAAGCAAAGAGGTGCTTCAAAGGTATAAAATTTCTCAACTCTCTTTGTGATTAGAGTCGAGTCTTGGTTCACCGTCACTACTAGGCTTTGAAGTTCATGGTTTAAGTTTTGTTTAAAATTGCATACAAGCATACTTCTGTTATTTAATTGTTAAATGCATGCAATATGTTGGAAAATGAACTTAGTTCCTCAAATATTTTCCTTTAGTGAAGTTGCAGATGAAAGTTTGTACAAAAAAATGGTGGGAGTTTTTTGTATTTCACTGCTACTTGGCATGATTTCTTGTTTGATGCAAGCATGGTAGCGAGATATATGTACAATCCAACTAGGAAACACATGAAAATAGTGAAAAAGGTACTTAATTTATTCAAGGTTCACTGGATAATGGAATTGAATGTGAGAACGCAAGTCAACTATGTTGATAAGATATTGTGATAGGGACTAGATAGGGAGTGAGGATGACATGAAGAACACATGTGCTTATGCTTTTAGGTTTAGCCTAGGAGTGTTTTCATGGGCATCAGTCAAACAAACCAGTGTCACATTGTCCATTTAACAGAGGCTAAATATGTTAGTGCAGCTCAAGCTACTGCACAAGCAACATGGTTGAGGGAGAGGGATCCCAGATAGGTAAAATTTTATAAACTTATTATATCGTTATTGGTTTTCTTTTAAAACTATTTTTTGTTGAATATCATTGGTTGCATGCTCAGAACGGTTTTGTGCCCAAATGTATAATTGAACGGTTGAAAATGTTGGTTGGATATGAAATATCATTTCATTACTCTGTACAAGTTTTGCGAAATGTTATACTTTTAGGGTAGGTTTTGCCAAATTTCCGGTAGAATTTTAAGTTGTGCCAATATGTGTAATTGAACTGTTTGACTATTTTAAATTTTAAGTTGTGCCAATATGTACCACTTGCTCTATGCAGTGGGATTCTTGACGAGCGATGTTGGAGGAGATGAGGAAGATGGTGCATCATCATTTTTGGTGAAGTATACAAATTCTCAACTTTTATTTGTTTTTTAAATATTATTTAATATTTTCCTATTTGTAGACAAACTATAATTTTGACAACATGGATGACAAGATGGCCATCTATATAGATGAGCTATCCTCAACCTAGTACAAACAATGGAAGAGCGGCCTCCACAAGTTCTTTTTATCTATATGATGATCCGAAGACTGGTCTCCTAGAGGGTTGCCCAGACGAGTTGGTAGAGCACCCAAAGGATTCAGAGTGGTTCTGCAAGCATTTTCAGGAGGAAAAGTATTTGGTACGTATTTGAATAATATTTAATAATAATTTTATTAATTTTTTTAGCAATCGACGAGAGCCAAGGCTAACAAGATTAGCCAGTTGATGAAGAAACTTGCCCACTTGTAGGGTTTGAGGCCCTTTTTGTATATGCTGGAGGCGTGACGGAAGGTAACCAAGCGTATATATTAATTTTAAATTCTAATAAATAGTAATTTCTATTTAGCTTACTAAAATTTTTCATCACTTTTTCTTTTAGGTGGTTTTTAAGTTCTTGGAGATCGACATGTTCAAGGGCATAGATGTTTGACCTGGTGATGAGACCATTGAGTAGCTCCACGTAAGTCTATTTAATTCTTATTATTCTTACACTTCTAAGTAATATACAAATTAATTAAATATTAATTTTCTTATTATTACAGGCTACTATGGTGGAGAAGATCAAGGTTGTTCTCGAGAAGGTGGCATTGCAGCTTCCCTCAGAGACCCTGATCGACAACGTGACTCCGACCGAGGATTCGAGACTTTAGATCCTGTCTAAGACCCTAGATTAGACTCTCGATTGGAGACCTGGTAAGGTTGTCCGAGGATGGGGAATGCACGACATCGGGACACTGCGACCTCCTCCTCCAGACAGAGCACACGACTAGTCACTGCATTAACGTGGGAAGTTGGCCACCTGAAGCAGAAGCTTGCGGCCCAGGATGTCCAAATGGCCCAGACCCTTTCAATTATCTAGCATCTGTCTCCCATCAACTTCTCCTTATCCACCTTTGAGCTCCCAACCCCTCCACCCAGAAGATACCTAGCATCCGATGCAGTTGACCTCACCAACATTTTTATGTATTTTTTTTATACTTTGATATTATAAAAAATTTCAGCTTGTACGTACATTTGCATATATAGTATAAATAAATATTTTTCAATTAATTATTGTTTATAATTTAATTAAAATAATTAAACAATAATTACAAAAAATTTAATTAAATTATGTAATTTACTTGAAAACCAAGTACAATGAGAAAAATTTCGTTGCATAAAGGTTTACTCAACGAAACCATTCGTCGCGCATAGTCTTAGAGAATGACGGCCTATCTTTATGATAAACTAAACGCGACGACATGGCGTTGTTCCCTTGAGCTCTATACGACGATAGGCTTCATTCCCCTTTGTTTTAGGTGATGAAGAACCTATTCGTCGCACAAGAAATCTTGCGCGACAAAATATGTTTGGTTTGTAAAAT